ACATTTACAGAACGGTGCGTGAAGGTGATGAAAGAAGAGACGTCTAAATCCGCCACACATCAAGTAAGCATTTTTGACTATAATAATAACACTTTCAGTGTGAAGGAGACAATTAACCACGGTGGGGGGAAACCATTGGGGCGTTACAAGGTCAACCTAATGGAAGGATGGTGTGACTGCGGAAAGTTTCAAGCATACTGTGTTCCTTGTTCACATGTTATCGCTGCATGTTCTGTGGTACGCCAAGACGCATTTCTTCTGTTGTCTGACGTTTACAAGGTTGCGAACTTATTTGGGGTTTACAGCACGAGCTTTCCAGTTCTACCATACGATGAGTATTGGCCCACTTATGAGGGAGATCAAATTTGCCATAATCCAGTTATGCGGAGGAACAAGAAAGGTCGTCCCGTGAGCACCCGTATTACAACAGAAATGGACGCATATGATAAGTTGGAGAGAAAATGCACATTGTGTCGTCTTCCAGGTCACAACCGAACGTGATGCCCCAATGTAGGAACTAGTAATAATTAGTTATTTATTTTGTTATCAATCTGCAAAGTTGTATGTATAATGACACCGAGTTATTATGTTTCATTTCACTAATACTTCTGCATTTAATATAAATAACAATTCGAAAAAACAACACATAAATTAAAATACTGAGACGAATAGTAGAACTTAGCAACAACATTAAACGTAAACAACATCAACATGTTCAAACAAGGACATAACCATTTCTAGGATATTACAATCAGCAACACAATGTCTTTTTGTTGAAGCGTCATCATAAGAACACATGCGTCGTTGTGAACAAGTCTCCAAGAACGAGTGGGTCCATTTAAGCCAGGCACCGTAACTAACCTCTCTATTTTCCGAATCTTTTCACCTTGGGCAATTTCTTCCCCTAACCATCCCTCCAAGTGCCTATGCAGATGCTCAAATGTCTGCGTGTTCAACAATTTGATCTTCATCGGAGGCTTTACTGGAGAAAAAATAAGTTCTGCGTCTCTTTTCATATATGGAAACATTGAAAACTCCCCGGATGTTGAAGACATTTTTAAGATACAACTAAAGAAAAATAATTTAAGTGTAGCTTGGATCATTGAACATCAACGATATTTATAGGTCACAACAAAAATTTTAAATTAATAAAATAATAAAACCCTCCGCCCATTAACGTGGCGGAGCCGTAAATAAATAATAAAATTACGAAAGCTTCCGCCCATCGCACTGGCGGAACCGTACTGAAATAATAAAATAATAAAATGAATAAAACCCTCCGTCCATTGCAGGGGCGGAGCCGCACTGCAATAATAAAATAACATGACCCTTTATATGATTAATATTTTAACATTGATTTCTTACTTAATAATAATTTAATTTATTTTTAAAATTACATTAAAATAAATTTTATTTGTATAGTAATATTTTAATATTTTAATAATTTCATTAAAATGACTTAAAATTTGAATTTTTCAATTTCTTTTTATACAAATATATTGATTTCTTACTTAATAATAATTTTAATTTATTTTTAAAATTACATTAAAATAAATTTTATTTGTATAGTAATATTTTAATATTTTAATAATTTCATTAAAATGACTTAAAATTTGAATTTTTCAATTTCTTTTTATACAAATATATTGATTTCTTACTTAATAATAATTTTAATTTATTTTTAAAATTACATTAAAATAAATTTTATTTGTATAGTAATATTTTAATAATTTCATTAAAATGACTTAAAATTTGAATTTTTCAATTTCTTTTTATACAAATATATTGATTTCTTACTTAATAATAATTTTAATTTATTTTTAAAATTACATTAAAATAAATTTTATTTGTATAGTAATATTTTAATAATTTCATTAAAATGACTTAAAATTTGAATTTTTCAATTTCTTTTTATACAAATATATTGATTTCTTACTTAATAATAATTTTAATTTATTTTTAAAATTACATTAAAATAAATTTTATTTGTATATTAATATTTTAATATTTTAATAATTTAATTAAAATGACTTAAATTTGAATTTTTCAATTTCATTTTATACAAATATATTGATTTCTTACTTAATAATAATTTTAATTTATTTTTAAAATTACATTAAAATAAATTTTTTTTGTATATTAAAATTTTAATATTTTAATAATTTTATTAAAATGACTTAAAATTGAATATATCAAATTCATTTTATACAAATATATTATTTTTTTATTTAACAGCAATTTTAATATATTTTTAGAATTATTTTTAAAAAAAAAACGTTGATCACACAGCTCCGCCAATGCAATGGGCGGAAGCTGTGTATTTTTAAGACCATCCGCCCATCCATTGGGCGGAGCCTCCTAATTCCAAATTATTTTTTTTTGAAAAGATGGTATATTGGGAATAATGGTTGAAAGGTGTGGTATATTGGGATATAGTTGTTAAAAGGGGTATATGTTGGTAAAAAATTCCAAGCGAATCGTAGAAGCGCTGGAATTATTTCTGGATCGGGAACATGGTTCACTTGTGCAGCATGGTGTAAAGAACTCAACGACTGCTGGGTTTCAGGTAAGCAAAATCAAACTCGATTTTCCGAGATTTAATGGGAAAAATGTGTTAGACTGGATCTTTAAGGCTGAACAATTTTTTGGGAACTATAATACCTCTGATGCTGATCGTATCACTATTGCTTCGGTTAATTTGAATGAAGATGTAGTTCCATGGTTTCAAATGTTACAAAGAACTACCCCCCTTTAAAAAGAATTTACTAGGGCGTTGGAATTAGATTTTGGTCCTTCCTTATATGATTGCCCTAGAGGTGCTTTATTTAAACTGAGACAAACAACCACTGTGAATGCTTATTATTTGGAATTTACTTGCTTGTCTAACCGAGTTTATGGACTAAGTAATGATGCAGTTGTGGATTGTTTTATTAGTGGATTGGATGATGATATACGCAAGGATGTGATGATACATACACCAACCTCCATTGTCAAGGTCGTAGTACGCTCTTGCTAAGGTCTATGAGGAAAAACAAAGTGCCCAGAAAACCAACCTAAACACTAAACCAACCAATTCAAACAGCCCAAACACAAACACTAGAGCTCACTTCACTTGAAACAAAACCCAATTTTCTGACAAGCCAAATAACCCCCTGTTTTAAACACCCCACCCACTAGACCCATGAACCTTAACCAGAAAAACCCAAACATTAGACGTATTTCCCCTGCTGAAATGCAATTGAGGAGAGAGAAAGGCCTTTGTTATTTTTGTCATGACCTCTTTTACTCATAAATGTTCCAACAAACACCTTATACCTTATGTTAATTCAAACAGAAGACATAGAGACTGAGACCACCGCAGAACCCCCGCCAATAGATATACATAACTCAGCCATAACACAAGAATCACCAGAACATCATTTATCCCTAAATGCAACGAAATGCACATGAGGTTTTGGAATTATCCGATTTCAGGGTAGAATTGGGTCAATGGCAGTCTCTATATTGCTAGATAGAGGCAGCACTGACAATTTTATACAGCCTAGAATTGTCCATTGTTTAAGGTTACCTGTGGAACCAGCTCCAAAGTGGCAGGTACTAGTGGGAAATGGCCAGAATATGACAGCTGAAGGCATGGTAAAAGAACTGTCTTTGCAAATTAATGGGCAGGAAATAATGGTTTCTGCATACCTGTTACCTATGGTAGGTGCTGATGTCATCTTGAGAGCACCTTGGCTTGCTTCATTGTGACCCCATGTGGCTGACTATGCGACAACAATGATGAAATTTTACTTGAAGGGTAAATTTATTACATTACAAGGGGAACAAAACCAGAAACCCCAAGTGGCTCAGTTACATTTGTTCCAAAGATTCTATCAAATGCAGGCAACTGCTGAATGCTTCACGTTGGAATGCATCCAACATATAGGTGGTTGGAATTTCCTTCCAACATGGAACCTGATATGGTGATGCTATTACACACATATCATGATGTGTTTCAAACACCTACTGGGTTACCTCCAACCAGGAACCATAATCATGTAATTTCTTTGAAAGACGGGTCACAACTAGTAAAGGTTAAACCCTATAGATATCCACATAGCCAAAAAGCAAAGATTGAAGAGATGGTATATGATATGTTGAGTCAAGGTATCATACAACCTAGCAATAGCCCATTTTCATCACCTATAGTGCTAGTAAAGAAGAAAGATGGTTCTTGGAGGTTTTCTACCGACTATAGAGCTCTTAATGCTATCACAGTTAAGGATAGCTTCCCAATGCCTACCGCTAATGAACTGATTGATGAACTTTATGGTGCTCAATACTTTTCTAAGTTAGATCTTAGAAGTAGATATCATCATATTTGGTCCAACCGGAAGATAGACACAAGATGGCATTTCGAACACACCACGTGCATTATGAATGGCTAGTAATACCCTTTGATTTGAATTCAAGATATTCAAAATGTCAAAGTAGTTGATTTGATTAAAATTGGCAAAACATGTTAAGTTTGATCATGTGAATTTTTTGGAAAGAAAGGAAGGAAAGGTATGAATTGCAAGGCATGGTTTCAAGATTCATCAAGTTTATCCATATTGCAAAGATATTCATTATTCCTCAAAATTCAAATCATCATTCCAAGTTCATATGGATTCAAAATTTGTCCAAAAACCCTTTTATGGCTTCAAGCATTTTTACCATAATCCATTCAAAGTTCTAAGTTTCAATACTTTGTTATTCAAGGATCATTTATTTCAAAATTCACCCAAGAATTACATACAAGTTATCCATACCATCAAGATAACAAAGTGCTTTCGAAATACATCATTATAAGTCCAATTCACTGCATCATTTGAGAGAATTACAAAATACGACAATAAATTTCAAGTTTCCCTAGATTCTTTCAAATTGCTTCAAGGTCCCTTCATTCACCTTCATATTGCTTCAAAGATCTTCATATACAAAGCTCAAGCCACGCTTTATCTTTAATCAAAACTCACATGAGTACTTCCTTCATGGATTCATCAAACCCTGCTTACTTGCACTTTATATCAAAATGGTCTCAAACTGCAGCCCTGCATACAAGACAATTCACCAATTTTGTTAACTTCTCCACCAGTTCAAGTATCCAAAACCAGAATAAATATCAATATGACCGTGACCTGCATCAATTATCCAACAGTCCAGATCTGCATTCTGTTCACACCAGAAAAATCAGAAAATGGAAGAAAATATCAGAACAGAAAATCAGAAGTAAAGAAGCCTACAGCTTCCAAGCCCAAAGCCAAGTCAAAGGCTAAGTCGGCTGCGAAAACCAAGCTAGCTGCCAAATACTAAAGTAGTGCCAGCTCACATATAATCATAATAGAAAACTAACTGTTCTCATCCTAGCCATCTATTCCATAATAAAAAACATAATAGCATAATAGCAGGGATTGACTTCTTACAGGAAAAACAGTTATAATAGATTTTCAAGCCTCAAAAACAGAATAAATTTCAGTCATCCAGATCTCTAACAAAAATTCAAATTAACACTTCAGATCAACTCAACCTTTAACTAACTTCTCAAAATCTCTAACAGACTTCCCAGAGAGATGATAACAGAAATCAGAAATTAGTGGCTCCGATTAAAACTCTAACAGAAAACGTAACAAAATATAACAGAAAGAGAGGGAGGGATTCACATTCATCATTCAACTCTACAGAACTGATTAAAAACAGAAAAAAACTGACCAATTCAGATTCATTCTTCAATCACAGAAAATGCTCTTCTTCTTCTCCTCTATCCTTCAATCTTCATAGAAGAATCATAACAAGAAAAACTCTCATCTCTTGGCTTCTCCTCTCTGAATTCTCGTGGAGTTTCTCTTCAATCTTCCCTCTGCAATCTTCATCTTTACACGCTCCTTCTCTCTTTCTCAATCTCCCTGCTACACATCTTCATCATCTTCGCATCTCCAAATGGTGATATTTCCGCTTCATTCTGTAACCAAAAGCTCAATAAGCAACAACAACCACAACACAGTAGTTCAATTCGCAGAAAAATGCAAGAGATTGAGTAGAAGAAGAATCACAAGATAGAAGAACAAGAAGAGCAGAAGAAAATATGGAGCTAGAAGAAGTAAAGAATTTCAAAGAGTACATGGTTTTGTGAATCTCGGACGCTTCTTCGCCGTCACCGTCTTGAGGTAGGCATCATGATGAACTGTCTTAACTTTCTCTTAGCGTTGCGTTATGGTTAGAGATTGATTCACTGATTTCTCGCACGATTTCATGACTTAGTGAGCTTAAGTTTCGTGCGCCATAATTCTTCGATCCCATGAATACATGTGAAATCAGAGAATTCTAAGCCCATAGTTGTGATGCGATATCGAACTTCATCTTCATTTAATTTACCTTTGAAGCGATCAAGGGTTTATTTTTTTCTTTCAAGATTCAGGCTCAACGATTTTTTTAGGAGAAATTTATGGTGAAGCTGGATTCAGGGTGGTGTTTTGAGGTAGGTACATGGTGAACCATGGTGATTCAGGCTGGTTTAGTGTTGGCGTTCGCGGCGGTATGCTCGCCCGAAATCTCTGCTTTGAAAACGAGAAAGAGAAATTGAGTTGAGTAAAGAAGTTGAAAAGCCACAAATAATGACCTAATTCCTCTTCCTGCTGGATATAAAAAAAAATCGATTTGGTCAATAGGTTGTGTTTTTGTGTGGACCGGATCATCTCTCTTAGGCCCATAACGTTTTTTGGGAACCTATTGGTGAAGCAAACAAAGTGCCTGGACTCATGGTTGTTGGATCGAAGCAATCAGGCCCATTGCTAGTTTTTTTTTGTGAAGCCTGAAGCTATGGTGGCAAAAGAAAAAAGAACTGCTTGTTGGATCATTGCAGTTTGGGCCCTAGCGCCCTTTCTAGCTTGCACTCTTAGATTACTGCAATACACCACCTGTTCCCAGACCCATTATTGAATATTATTGACAACCTAATTGCTTGTAACAAAAAAAGCTGATTGAATCCTGATTTGGCTGGGCCTAGTGCCCAAATTGCTTCTATACCCCTGATTTTGGCTTGCACCCCCTGAGTTTATTTTTTAGTATATTTCTTTTAAATAGTTTTGTGAATTGTTTAGACTTGTTTGAACTTTTTTTTACATGATAAAAAAAATAGTAAAATATATTAAAATTTGTAGATTTTTTAATTTGATTTTAGGAATTAAATCCCGATTACTCAAGGTGTGTAATTTACCTTTGCTTGTTGAGATTTGAGGTTTATGCAGGTTTATTATATGATATGCGGATATGCTCGAAATTTCGATTGTGATTTATTTTCACATCGATGATGCTTCGAAACTTATTCCGAGTATTTGATTTCTGACTCTTTTCTTTGATTGGTGAAGCTTTCGCGAAGATCGTCGGGTTTCTTTGTTTTGATACGCTTTGCTACAGATTGATATTCGTTTGGTATTTTCTCCTGTTTATCTCGTTTCAACACTTTACCGCTTTTCTAGAAATCACGAGAAGTAGAAATTTTACTGCTTTCTAGATATCATAAGAAGTAGAAAATAAAGAGCGTGCGCTCGAAGTCGCTGTTTAAAGTCCTGTAGTAGACACCGATTTTTGTATTCTATTTGTGTTTGTTTAAAATCCTACCTTTGAAATAGGTATTCTGCATGTGTGTTTACATTTGTGTCGGTATTATATTACAAATGATAAGTCCTCAAAAGAAAGCAAACGGAGAGGGTTCACAATCGACCCCCGCACATTTTAGTCCATGTCATCCTTAGCTCACGTTGTACATCGATGCTTCGGAGTCGTACATATCTTGTGTATCGAGTCGGTCATGTGGAGAAGGGTTCGCAACCAACCCCCACACTTTGTCAGGAGTTTGCAATGGCCATTGCGGATACTTCGCTACCCGCTTGTTTGCTTAGGGTGATCCGCTCCCCTTAGTTAAAACATTTTTTTCTTTTTTTATTTCATCTGTCTCCTGCTTGTTTACTTCGGGTGATACATTCCCCTTAGCTAAAGCATTTCTCTTGTTTCCCCCATCCCTTTGAGTCAGTATTTGCTACTTATGTTTTTGTGCTTTTGCCAAAGCACTTGTTTGCTTATTTGTTTGCTATACCATGTTCCCTTAGAATAGAAATTTGTATGCTTCCCTTAGGATCGCTTGATTAGAGTAGCTTTTGAGCTATGCATTAGGATAGGTATCCATGCATGCTAACGTAGAGTAGAGATTTCCCTTTTATCCTCAACCTTAGGATCAATCATTGTATGATAACATTAGAGATAGATTTAGGTTAGTCTCCCTTAGATATTTTTCTTTATTTTACATCCTTGCATTAAGACTAAAACTCTTTTCTTAGCAAATGCATAAAATATCTAACAACTTTCAAATCCTTCTTTAAGGTAAAAAATATCAATCAATACAAACTTTTTCCGCCTTCGGGCCTGTCTTCGGAACTTGAAAAAGATGTGTTATTTTTCTACCCTATGCAATACGACACATTATTCCCCAAGGGTCGTGTTGCATCATGTCTACTTGCTAAGAGCCAAAAACGTAATATCATCCACCTCCAGGAACCTTTTCTTTTGAAAACACCTGTTTAGGTGAGAGCATGTTATTTCCTTTCAACTACAGATGTGTGAGTCTCCAATGGTCAAGCAGCAGTGGAATGATTTAATTTAACATTGTTTATTAAAAAAGACAAACAAACAAAAACATGTGAGCCGAATTACGGTAACTCTTATTCCTCAAAAAGGATACGTAGGCATTGAGGTATGGTCCGAACGAGTACAACTTTATTTTCCCTATATTATTTTCTCTTTTCTTTTGCATACATTCCCTCTTTTCATTTTCTTTTAGCTTTTAAGCATTAGATTTGAACACACTATTTTATTAGAACAACAAGAGTGGATACCGTAGAGTACTACGGGCGTGTGGGGTGTTAATACCTTCTCATTGCGTAACAGATTCTCTTACCCGTATCTCTTGGCAGATTGACCTTGATTTCACCTTTCTCAGGTTTACTCGATGTTTACCTATCTCTTCCTGTGGGATAAAAAAACGTTCGATGTCAACTTCATTGATTTCATCTCGATGATTTGTTCAGCTGGTTGTTTCAGCTCTACAAACGCCTGAGCAACAAGCTTGGCTCCACAAGTTCATGGGTTATGACTTCACGATAGAATACAAACCTGGGAAAGACAATCAAGTTGCTAATGCTTTGTCAAATTGATTAACTTAGCTTGGTCTGAACCGCATGTATGTTCTTACAACAGTTAAAGGAAGAAATTTCTTAGGATACTCAATTGCAAGCTACTATGAAGGAGTGTCAAGAGATTGGGTCTGCATGGCCCTATACTGTGGAAGATGGGTTGTTATTGTGGAATGGAAGACTTGTCATACCGAAACAGAGTCCTTTGATTCAATAAATATTATAAGAATTCCATTCTTCCCCAGTTGTCGGACACGGCAGTATTATGAGGATTGTGGCAAGAATCACTCTGCAATTTTTCTAGAGCACATTGAGGAAAGATGTAAAGACATTTGTGGAGAATTGTTTGGTGTGTCAGCAAGCAAAAACTTTGAATACATCCCCAACTGGACTTCTACAACCATTACTGATTCCTGCTCCGGTATGGGACGGCGTCTCAATGGATTTTATTACTAGACTACATGTATCTTTTGGCTTTACTGTAATTCTGGTGGTGGTGGATAGATTAAGAAAATATGCTCACTTTATGGGTCTTAAGTCTGATTATACAAGCAAATCAGTGGCAGAAACATTCATGGCAAATCTTGTTAAGTTACACGGCATGTCTAAATATATTGTGTCCGACAGAGATAAGTTGTTCACCAGCAAGTTTTGGCAGCATCTCTTTCAATCACAGGGTACAACCTTGGCTATGAGTTCGGCATACCATCCTTAGAGTGATGGGTAGACATAAGCGGTTAATAAGTGTGTGGAAATGTTCCTGAGATGTTTCACTACCAACAACCCCAAATCATGGTACAAGGTGTTGAATTGGGCTGAATATTGGTATAACTCCTCTTTTCACACAAGCATTGTTATGACTCCTTTTAAGGCTTTATATGGCCGAGACCCTCCGATGGTAGTGAAGTACAACCCTAGCTCAAATGAACCACCAGAATTGCAAGAGCAACTGATACTGCGTGATAAGATTCTGGCAGACTTGAAATTTAATCTGCAGAGAGCTCAACAGAACATGAAATCACATGCTGAAAAGAATAGGCTTGACGTTAATTATGAGCTGGGGAAGTTAGTGTTGGTGAAATTGCAACCTTACAGGAAGAATTCGATAGCTTTGAGGAAACACCAGAAGTTGGGAATGAGGTACTTCGGTCCTTTTCCTATAATTGCTAAGGTGGGACTGGTTGCATACAAATTTCAATTACCCGATGCAGCAAAGATAAGAAATTCAAAGGGGAAGCCACTGACCCTTACTCGCCATTACCACTTACAACAGTAGAGGAAGGTCCAATTATACAAGCTGAGGGAATTTTGCAGACAAGGACTGTTGTCAGAGGCAGCCAACAGGTCCCTCAAGTGCTGGTCAAATGGGAAGGTATTCCAAGTAATGAGGAAACATGGGAAGACAGAGTTGGTGTTGTGAACAATTTTCCTAATCTCAACCTTGAGGACAAGGTTGCTTTTAAAGGGTATGGTAATGTTATGAATGAGAATAACATAGAAGGAAAAGATACTGCTGAGTCAGACAATGTGGGGAACACGCGTCAAGAAAGCATGTGGGCCAGAAATACTAGTGTGAGATACAGCAATAGGAGCAAGCGGGACCACCCTATGTGGGGTGAATTTGTGAAGCACTAGTGTATATAAAAAAGGTAATTGCGTAGAGGGGATATTTTATGCTGTTAGTGAATACTTAATTTCTCTTCTCTCTCTATAATCTGTATCATCATCACCCTATTTTGCAATTTTTATGAGTTGTACCTTCCATTTCCATTAATACTACAAGCTTATTCCACGATTCATTCTAGTACCATTACAACTAGTAGTGCCAATTTATGGCATCTTGACCCTATCCGTGTCCATCGCAGTGACGATCTTATCAAGACTAACCGTCAGATGTCCTCATTTGGTTCTACACCATGAGTGAATGCATTTCTGCAAAATCGGAAGCGTTCCTCCAACGATAGAAAATGCCTGATCCATTATCCTATGTGCAAACATGTGCGGGTTTTCTAACGAATCTTACATCTACCAATAACAATTTATGTAGAAACCGTTCTGGTAGTTTGAATTGATATTAGGGAAGTCTTCGACGACATCAACCCTGTGGAAATTGGGTTAGAGTTCTGCTTCTGAATCCAGTATTGACTAAACTGTCTTCGCCGGTTGTTATCGCGTCTAGGATTTTTATCGAAGCGCAAACGAGGCGGAAAAGAAGAAGAGTTGTCATCAATGTTATTTATCTCAAGAGAGGCAAATGAAATACTGAGTAAACCTAAAGGAAGGAAAAGAACATGGTCATTGCGACCAAGAGAAAAGGGTAAGGAAGTTGATTACGCGAGGGGAAGGTATTAGCACCTCTCACATCTGTGGTACTCCACAGGATCCACTTAAGTTTATTCTAATTTAAGGCTGTATAAAAATATAAGTCTAAAGATAATGCTAAAAGGGAATGCATACAAAATATATACAAAGAAAAAAATTTATTAGTTGTGCCCGCCGCGGTTGAGAATCTTTATGCCTACGTATCACCTTTCGTACAATAGGGGATCAGGGCACTCGTATTTCACCTAAAAAGGTGTTTTAGTTTGTTATGTGTTTTTTATGAATAATGCTAGTGAAGCATGTCTTTTTTGAAAAAGTTTTAAAAGAAAAGGCAAATGGAAAAAGAAGTTTGAATTAGTTGGTGTTTTTGTAGGTAAGATGATAAATGAATCCATCTGCTAGGTGTTGGCTGGAGATTTTGAT